GAGGTATTTCAGGGAGGCCTAGGGGAGAGTCTACACTGATGGACTCTCCAGAATGACAAGTCTAGAAGCTCACGAGGCCAGCAGCCCACAGATTATAGAACTGAATGCAGCCCCTCTGGAGGTCCAGGGGCTGCTGGAGACACAGGAAGAGAAATAACAGAGACTGGGCAGATTAGAGGGATTTGTAAGTTTCCTCTTGCACCAGAAGGGCATGCATGGGGGTGACCCTGGGTAACTTCATGGGATGGCTATGGACAGGTGGGAAAGAGACAGTCCAGGCAGAAGGAACAGCGCCTGCAGAGCCAGGCACAAAACCTGCTACAGTTAGCCATCTGTGTATGGCCAACAGTGGCTGTAAGGATAGTCTGGAACATTTTGTAGGCCAGGGGTCTTCATCAGATGACATGGCAACACCAGAGTGATAATAGGACAGTGGCATTACTTGCCCCATCCCCACCTGTCCAACCTTGAGGTTTGGGGTAATCATGGAAAATGACCATCTGCTGACATTTGGAAGACTAACTCATAGGCCTTGGGCAGTCACAGGCATTCAGAGAGGGACAGTTATTCAGAAGGCAGTGGAATTCATGCTTTGGAGAAAGTAGGGTAGGACAAATAGTGACTTGGATAGAAGAGATGATGACTTCCAGATGACATGGAGGAGTGGTAATGGGCAGGGCCAAAGAATATAGGTCTCTGATGCTTCTTTTCCTTGCATTCCAAGAAGCCACCATCTAAAGATCTCGTCACCAGCCTACAGGGTTTCAAACTTTCACTGGTTTGTGGATAGCAGCTCTCCTGACTCGAGCCCCCTCTAGCCCTTCTACTACACACCACATGTCCAGCCTGCCTCCTCTGCCTCCCAGAGACACTTACTTTATCTAGGGATAGCCTCCATCGCTCATGTGAGGCCCTGAAGTGAGGGTCCTAACTGGGGAAATGGAACAAGGGTACAGCTGTGCCCAGGAGCTATGCAGTCAACTTGGTAGCAGACCCAGGGCACCCCAGGGCTCAGTGTCTTCATCTGTGAAATGAGCGAGTTGGACTAGAATAGGTAGAGACCTGGGCCTCTGTTTGCTCTCTGTGGTGCAGGTTCTGAGAGTAAAAATAGGGCAGAAAGGAAAAGTCTTGCCTTGAGTCCCATGAAGCCAGGTTGGGGCCATGTAGGGCAGAGCAGGGTTCTGAGCTTGGAAATGGGGACTTGGACAAAGCTGTCTCAGACTTGAGAGGGTGGGGCTTTAGGAGAGCTGAAAGGATGTGGCAAAGGCCAAGGCTGAGGAAGGACAGCCTGCTCCACAGCAGGCGCTCAGATCCAATGTGGTCCCAGCCCCCATCCGTGCTGAAATGAGTGGGACTTCAGCTGCAGCAAGTGCCAAGCACAGAGACAGAATAGGGTTATTTGCCCTTTTATTTCTGAGGACAGAGCCTGAGAGTTGCTGGAGAGACTTAGTGGGGCTGTGGTAAGCTAAGGAGTGTCTTGTTTGGTGGAACCTTTATGGAAGGAATCTACCACACAGCAGCAAGAGACCTTATCCTTCCAGATTCCCTTGAGCTTTGATTCTCCTTCCTGTTCCTAAACATCACCCCCTTCCATCCTCACTGCTCTTCTAGTCCAAGACTGAGCTGGGTTGAGGGGGAGATGTCTTGGGAGCTGAGCAGCAACAGATTTATAAACTATCAAGGGAGGGCACCAATGCAAGATGGAAAGGAAGAAAAGGGAAGGGAAGGTATGGAACCACATGGGAAAAATTCCTGTGGGCACTGGGCTGGGTGGTTCTGAAGTTGCCCATGACTTGTCATACTTGGTCTAGATACCTAAAATGTCCTGTCAGGTGTTCACCAGTGCCAGATAAGTAATCTGCAAAGTCACCAGGCATAGTTTAGGTTTTTGGCACTCGTTCCCAGGAAGGAGCCTATGTTGCCTACTCAGGGCCCTAAGCCTTTCCGGCAGCTTCTCTGTACCCACGAGGCATCCCTGTAACTACTCGATGACTCAAGAAAAGGTCTGTTTCTCACTTCCAGTCAGAATTAAAAGAGGTTTCTGGGCCCATGCAGCACCCGTCCTGCACTTCTTCCAAAGGGTCAATATTAAGGCTTTGACTTACTTAGTGAGGGCAAATTCTGACCAAAGGCAGCAGCCAGGCCCCTGTAATGTAGGTACTGAAGAAGCCCAGTAGTCCCTACCAGTCCCATACTCCCTAAAAAAGGAGCCTGAGTTTGAGGGATCCCTACTACACTGGACCTAGACAGTGATTTTGTTGACAATTCATTTTCCTAGCAGGGTGAACCAGACACCTGAAAAATTTTCAGAGCCACTTAACTATAAAATGTAACTACTATCTATGGCCCCTCAGCCTGGTGTACTGTCAGGGAACTGTTATGATGAGGATTTAGCCCTCTGAAAACAGAATGGACAAAGTATGACATAAATATAAATGGAGTATTATCCAGCCATAAAGAATCAAATTGTAGCTGGGCACTGGTGGCTCACGCCTGTAATCCTAGCTATGCAGGAGGCTGAGATCTGAGGATTGTGGTTCAGAGCCAGCCTGGGCAGGAAAGTCTGTGAGACTATCTCCAATAAACCACCAGAAAACAGGAAGTGGTGCTGTGGCTCAAGTGGTACAGCGCTAGCCTTGAGCTGAAGAGCTACTAAAAAAAAAAAAAAAAAATCAAATTGTGTCATATGCAGGAGAATGGATGGAAGAATATGTTAAGTAAAATAATCAAGACATAGGAAGACAAATATATTTCTCTCATATTTAAAAATAAACATGAAAGTAGGAAGCACAGTGAAAAATAAAATAGGATAAATATGACAAGTACGTAGTACACAGGCATGAAAATATCATAGTGAACCTCATTTTATGCACTCATTTTTTTAAATGTTAAAGAAACTGAAACATACTTCAGAACTTATATGGGTGCTGGGAACTGAACCCAGGGCCTTGACTATTCCAGGCAAACATGATCTGTACCTTTTTTTTTTTTTTTTTTTGGTTGTAGGGCTTAAATTTGGGAGACCTGGGTGCTGTCCCTGAGTTCTTTTTGCTAAAGGACAGAACTTTACTACTTTGAGCCACAACACCACTTCCGGTTTTCTGGAGATGAGTCTCAGACTTTCTTGCCCAGGCTGGCTTTGAACTACAATCTTCAGATCAGTCCCCTGAGTAGCTAGGATTACAGACATTAGTCACCAGTACCAGCTTTCTCGGTTGGTTTTTACTTACAGCGTGAGCCACCAATGATTGGCCTTTTTTGTGTGCATCTGTATCTGGGGCTTGAATTCAAGTCTTGGTCACTGTCCCTGAGCTTTTGTGTTCAAGGATTGTGGTGGACCTCTTGAACCACAGCTCCACTTCTGGCTTTTTGTGGCTAATTAGACATAAGCGTATCATAGACTTTCTGTCCAGGCTGTGTAGGCCACAATCCTCAGATCTCAGCCTCCTGAGGAGCTAAGATTACAGACATTAGTCAGTAGCACCCAGCTTTTCCCTTGCATTTTTTCTAGACAAAAAATGTTTGATATCAGGCTGGCTTCAAACTCCCGTGTCTTCCTTACAATTTCTTTTTTAAACTGTGAGAATACCATACAGAGGAGTTACAATTACATAGACAAGATAATGAACGAGTACATTTCTTTTTTTGGGTCCAGTCATGAGGCCTGAACTCTGGGCCTGGGCGCTGTCCCTCAGCTCTTCAGCTCAAGGCTAGCGCTCTACCAGTTGAGCCACAGGGCAACTTCTGGCTTTTTTCTTTTTGTTTATGTGGTGCTGAGGAATCGAACCCAGGGCCTCAGGCATGCAAGGTAAGCGCTCTACCACTGGGCCACCTTCCCAGCCCCCGAACAAGTACACTTCTTATCAAGCATTGTTGCCTCCTCTTTGTTTCTCCTTCCCATATTCCCCTCTCCCCCCACCTGATCCTCCCCCTTCCTTACAAATTTTTTTTCCTGCCTATCAAGGGGCCTGAACTTGGCCTGGGCGCTGTCCCTCAGCTCTTCAGCTCAAGGCTAGCGCCACTTCTGGCTTTTCTGCATATGTGGTACTGAGGAATCGAACCCAGGGCCTCATGCATGCAAGGCAAGCACTCTACCACTGAGCCACCCTCCTAGCCCCTTTCTTACAATTTTTTAAAGTTTTCTTGATTTGTGTGCAGTCTTGTGGCTCACACTCAGGGCCTGGGAGCTGTCACTGAGCTGCTTTTGCTCAAGGTTAACATTTTACCATTTGAACGACAGCTCCACTGCTGGTACTTTCTGGTGGTTTATTGTTAAAAGTCTAACAGACTTTCCTGTCCCGGATAACAAAACAGTGATCCCCAGATCTCGGCCTGAATAGGTAGGATTTCAAGCAAAGACCACTGGTGCCAGCCTTAAACTGTTCTTTTGGAATCAAAAGTTTCTTACTTTATCTGGATTGCTATTTTGGTTATTTTTTTTCTCATGTCGTTGCTATGTAGTCCAACAGTATTTGCTTACTGTTACATACAAAAAAGTGATAAATTACTATTTTCATATTGATCTATCAATGAAAGAAACTGAAGCATTGCCCTAAAAAAGATTCAGGAAAACGATCTCTCTCTCTCTCTTTATGCTATCCTTAGCCCATCTGAAACATGGAGAAAAAGTGAGTTCACGACTGGCTAATGGATCTACTCTCTAAGCCAAACAGTTTGATCCCAGTTCTTTCTTCTACCCACCTCAGAGCAATGAAGGGAACTGCCCTACAACAGACAACACGACTCTGGATACCCGCCAAGAGCACTGAACCTGTCCCTGAGGGCAGAGCCAAAAACGGGGTGGCTCAGATTCGTGTGATTCCAGGGTCTGTGGCTCCAGGCAGTAGACCAACCTCTCCAGGCCCAACACTGGGCGTCACCCAACCCTACCAGACCTGACACCCCTTCCAGGCCCGAGCTCCGCGGGGGTGGGGGTGGGGGTGGGTGTCAATGTCGCCGGCAGGCACCAATTCCTCCGCAAACCAAGGAAGCCAATACAGTTGTGGTCTCTAAACCATTTATTTCTCCTCACCCGGAAGGAGGAGGGTGAGCACTTAACACTGAGAGCTGCAGGGGCAGGGGTGAGGCTGTGCTAGCGAAATCAAGCTGGTGCTTCTCAGGCAAAGGTGGCACCATTCCAGCCCACGTTGGCCGCGTTCATGTCGTAGTAGTTGATGTAGATCCTAAGAGAGATGGGAGATGGGGCTCAGTCAACAACCTCACCATCTCGGAGAAGCGGCTCGCGGGCCGGTCCGCGTTCCCACCCGCGCCGCCTCCCCAACGCACCTGTCCGGGCTGATGCGCAGACGCTCGCCCAGCAGTCCGCAAAGCAGCTTGCTGTACGTGCGGTTCTGCGCGCCGCCGATCTTGCCGATGCTGTGCAAACTGCAGAGCGCGCAGGGCTCGCTGGAGCCGCCGAAGGCCATGAGCTGGTCCGGTACCACGTGCACGGCGATGTACTGCGGGGTGGGGGCAGGGGAGGAGGGTCTGAGCAGCCGGCCGGAGGGGCTCGGCTGCGCCCCAGGCATCCGCTTTCCGCCCTTGAGCCACCATCCTGCGCCCCCCGCCCCCACCCTCAGCCCAGCAGCCCCGGCTGACCATCTCTACGCGAACACACCCCGGCCAAGCACCCTCCCCGCAAACCTGCGCCGGCTTGCCCGTGGCCTGCGCCAGCTGCTGGGTGAGCTCGGAGAGGAGCCCGTCCGGCACCGAGGCGCGGGGCACGTTGGTGCTCACGATGAACATCGGCATGATGGCGGGAAGGGCAGCGGAACGGCGGTGAGAGCACTAGAAGACGCTCGCCACGCCGAAACCCGGGGACAGGAGCTACGTGACCCAGGCCCCGCACCGCCCCGAAAGCGACGCCGCCTCCCGTGACGCTGCCGCCGGCGGAGGCCCCGCCCCTCGCGCGCCGTCACCGCCGGCCGAAGCTCCTCCCCCCGTGCGCCTTCCTTGGCCGGCGTCTACGCGCTGCGTGCGTCTTTCAGGTCTGTGCTCCACGTGGCGCCCGCAAACGTACGGGTCCCCTCCTTGTCTTTGTTGGCCCTTTTTCTTGGGCGCGGATGGTTGACTCTTCTCTTTCTGTGCCTGGAATGAGGATGGCGGTTAATGGGGCAGATGGACCTTGCCCTCTGGGAGCTCGGCCTTTCAGCCACACTCACTGAGACCTTTTGTGTTCCTAGTCTTCAAGGGCTAAAGTTCTCCGCTTGCAGGCTCGTGTGAGGGGGAGCAGGGGGGGGGCACCCAAGAAGAGGGGCAGGGAACAGGGTGTGAAGCAGAGATACTGAGCCTTGCTCCTCCAACCCTCAGTATATTTGGGGTTTGTTATCCCACGCCCCTGCACCTCTGGGCAGCAAACTCAAGAAGGAAGTCAGATCCAGCAGGGATGCCCTCTCAGAGAGCCCTTGCCTTCCATATCCTTCCTCCACTAATGGTAAGCTCTAGCCTCCAGTAAACTGAGTACCAGCAGAATGGCTGGCTGGCTGCTGTTAGAACCAGGTTAAATTGGACAAGTAGAGTATTAATTAGACCCAGGAAAAATGAGATTTAACTGGGTAATCTGAGAAGCCCCAGTTTACCTGAGAAACATAAGTGCAGACCCTAGGAATAGAACAAACTAAGGCCTGGCCTTTACTGAAATTTGCAAAGTAAGTAAGAATAAAAGGGCCAAACTTGAAAGGCAGGATCTCCCTGTAGAGAAAAACTCCAGGATAGTCATTAAATGGAAAAATCCCAAAAGCCGGGTGCCGTGGCTCATGCTTGTAATCCTAGTTACTCAGGAGGCTGAGATCTGAGGATCACGGTTCAAAGCCAGCCCAGGCAGGAAAGGCCAGGAGACTCTTTATCTCCAATAAACCATTAGAAAACCGGAAGTGGTGCTGTGGGTCATGCTTCTTTGATGGGAAGATTTAGGATAAGGACAGTGATGTATGGCCTTGGTTATTGGAATGACTGGAATTATAATTGCCATTTTGTAATCACTAACTGCTAGCTCTGCTTCTGCAACTTGCTTCTTCTTTGCCGATGGGAAAACTACCACTGGCCACCTGTGAGTGCCCCCCCCCCCACCCAATCTTGCCTTTAAATACATAAACTAATTGACTTTATTGTTGTTCTTCACTGTCTTGGTATAGTGAGAGGAAGCCTCTGTGGCAGCAAAGACTCCTAGCCTAATTGACCTAATGTTGGGATGTCTTGTTGGGCAACTGAAGTACTGCCATGAAGACAGTGATGACATAGCAGGAAGAGAACCAAGTGGCAACCAGATTAGGATTCTGGCTATTCAGGGTAGAGTTAGAAGGAATCTTCAATGTCTGTCATCATAGGACAGGGGGGCAGGGCTATGTGGCACCTCTAATCTGAGTGGAATCAGGATTCTGCATATGCTGGAGATCTGTCTCTCAAGACCATGGATGGAGCATGCTGCATTTGGTCAAGTGTTTGGAATTTTCCAGGAAGGTCCTATCTTTGGGTCTCTGACAAGCACAGTTCAATTTTGATGGCATAGCCAACACTGGCCTTGGTGATAGCCTTGTGGTATAGCAAAGATACATGACTGAGACTCAGATGCCACCAGATCACCAGCCAGTCTCCAATCAGAAGACCCGTTTATGCAAAGAGAGTGTAAGTGTTGATTTCCTTCATCTGGGCCCTGGCATCCAAGACCTCTTAACTGCAGGTGTTCTGATGATGTTCCATATGATGTCTACAGCTGGAGTTGCTCCTTTGAGCTTCAGCAGCTCGCAGTGGCCACATCAGTGTCATCTGCTCCCTATGTCAAACCTAAGTGCATGACTTTCCTCCTAAGGCTGATTGCCTGCCAGTGGAATGTACTTCCCTCCACTTTCCCTTTGTCTTCTCTTTTTCCCTCCTTCCATTCTCTGCCACTCGGTCGAAATGCTCTGATAATCAGCTGTCCTTTCTCCCGTACAGTTGTGATTCCCCTGTGATGGGACACTCCTTCTGGAAGGGGTCTCTTTCTTGACCCCTGAACAACTGATTTGTCTCTGACCTGCTTTGCCCATTGTAATGTGAGCAGTGAGCTTGAGTAATTCCAGGCAGATGATTGCAGAGCCAGCAGCTGGTTGGCCTATTCTCTGTAATAGTTGGTACAAGTGACAAAATGGAGCTTCACCAGCAGGTATCATGCTGCCCCTATAAAGGAGCCCCTTAAAATTTCAGGTGGTTACCAGAGCATAGAGTGTCTTTCCCTAGCTACTTGTCATTTTCCCTTGCCCTCCTCAGCTCTTTCCAGTAGCAGTCACCTTCAACTTTCCAGAAGGGCATCTGAGCAGATGCTCCAATTCCTCAGACTTAGCTAACCACTCTGAGCCTGTTTACGCACCTGTAATTTGGACATGACAATAGTGTCATGGAGTTGGTTTGAGGACCAAGTGGCTAAGTGGTCCCCTGGATACTAGAGGCAATACTATCACATGTGCTGACCTAGTCCTTGCTAGCTTCCCCTTACCTTCCATGCCTGGGCTCCTGCATCTGGCTCTGTGGGTTGGTCCTGAGATGCAGTTGGCTCATACTTTCCCTCATCAGACTGACTCATCCTACAGACCTTGGTACCTTAGGAAAGTCCCAGTTCCATGTGAACCCAGCACCTGCCCTGTTCTCCAAGTCTGTTCCCCAAGTCTGTTCCCATACTTCTGTTTGTGAGTTAAAGCTTCATGTTCAGGTGGTAAGTGAAGACAGATCCATGAAATGTTGCTGTATGCCTATGCCCTGACCCAGTTACCTCCATAGTAGGTAGACGACCACCAAAGATGTCTACATCCTAATTCTGGAACCTGTGAATATGTTGCCTTACATGGCAAAAGGCATTTCACACATGTAATTTGGGATATCGACCTTAATATAGAGATTATCATGGAATATCTGGGTGGGTCTGAGCTAATCACTTGAGCTCTTAAAAGCAGAGAACATTCTCCAGCTAGAGTCAGGAAGGTATGGTAAAAGAAGCCAGAGAGATTCAAAATAGGACTAAATGAGCTTTTATTTGCTTTGAAGATGGAGATGGGGACATGTAAGGAACCAAGGGGACAGTGGAAGGAGGTATATTTCAATGGCAGGCAAGTGAGAGAGAGGAAAAACCATGTTTAGACACAGGGGGCAGGAGACACTAACTTGGCAGCTACTGAGATGGAGCCAGAGACCTCAGTCATACAACTGTAAGGAGCTGAAATCTATAGACAATGTGAACTTGGAAGCCAAGATTCCTCCATAGCTGACTTTCAGACACCTTGACTTCAGCCTTGTGAAACCTTAAGCAGAAGACCCATCCATATTGTACTGGACTCTTTAACACATGCAAATGGTGAGATAATAAATGTGTGTTGTTATGAGCAGCTAAAACTATGGTGAGTGGTTATGACTTGAAGAAAACATTTTTAGAACTCAACAATTATGTGCCTGTAATGGTCAAATGTATCAGGATGCCCTTTCATACTCACTGACAGCAGCATCCATGTTCTGTTTGATTGAAACCTTGACTTTTTCCTAAGTCTCTATGGCCATAGAGTTTGGCTGTGGTGAGTCCAGTGTCCTGGGTTTATGGACAAGTGTCTGTTTTGTCAATAGAAACATCATCATGCTCCCTTCTTCCTATTCCCTGCTTAGAATTAGACACAACCCTTGAATGTATAGTAGGTGTCAGGCCAGCAGGAGCTTCAAAAATGCAGGCCAAGGAAGGAGGAATAGAAACCTAAAGGGCCCCAGAGCTTGACCCAGGCCTTTCAGTTGCCTTTTAGTTATATGAGAATAGCAAGCCCTTCTCTTCGCATGGTACAGTCTTCTGGGACTTCTGTCAGGTGCAGACTCATTGCAACTCCTGGCTGGTAGAGAGGGCCTGCCCATGATCCACAGGTAAGGGATGATGGGCAGAGAAAATTAAAGAGGAACAAAACATAAACTGGATAAGGAGGAATTGCCCATGAGTGCCTTGGCAGATCCTGTGGGTGGATAGCTGGCCCTTTGGTTGACCATCTCCATGGGCTGTCAACACAATAGGGAGTCAAGGAGGAATAGATACAGCTGGGCCTGCCCAGCTTCCCTCCGAGAAGCCACCTGCTCTTCCCCTTACCATCTCTCCTAGAAGCTAGCTGGAGACCTATCTGGCTTCTCTGAAGTGCTCCCACCTTTCCAAAGGCATTCAAGACCTCCCAGCCGCCCCCCCCCCGCCCCCCCCCGCCCCCCCCCCCCCCCCCCCCCCCGTGTTCCTTGACAGGACTCTACCAGGTACTCCACAGGGAAAATCAGCTGCCCGATTTACTCGTCTTGTGCCCATTCTCAAGACATCATATATAAGAAAAGTCACAGAAAAGCTATTTTAAAAAACATCCCCATCACTCTTTAGTCATAGTGGAACAAGGCTTGCTATCCTCTGTGTCCCCTCCTGCCCTACACCATCTAGCTGAATTTGAAGATACAGGACTTTAAAAATGTCTGCCAGGAGACACACTGCAAAGGAAGGGCCTAGGCTGGGTGATAAGGAATGCCATCATTTGGATAAGTGTCTACTCAAGTTTGGTTGACAGAGCATGACACTGTTGAGAGGCAGTGCAACCTTTAGGAAAAAAAGCCCCGCAGAAGGAAGTTAAGTCATTAAGGGGAGGAGGGGCGTGTCCTTGAAAGGCTCTGGCCCCTCCTTTTCCCTCTTTCTTTGCCTCTTTGCCTCCCTGTAGTTTCCCAGTCATGCTTTTACGGGTTATTCTGCCTTTCCACAGGCCCCAAATGAACAGATCCACCTAAACAACCATGGACTGAAGCCTCTGAAATGTGACCAAAAATAAACCTGTCTTATAAGTTGTCTATCTTAGGTATTTTGCCACAGTAGTGGGAAGCTGATTATCACAGGGAGCCAGTATTCACTGCCAGCTTATCCCAGAAGGCACTGGGACATTGGCCAGAACAAAGTAATTGGGCTTAGTTGCTCAAACCTTAGAGCCTCAGTTTCTTCATCTAAAAAAGACACGGTGAGTCCTTTCCCATCTATGTGTCTGGAGATTAAATGACAGGATGACAAATACCAGTTCCTGGTATCAGTAGGTATCCAGAAAATGTTGAAATTGTTGTGTGGTAGCCAAGTATTCCAGATCAGATCATAAACTCACAGGATAGAAACTCTATGGGCATTGGGGTAGAATTGGAGACTGTGCATTCCTTCCTTTTCCCCATTTACACTCTCATCCCAGCAGCAGAGCCAAGACCTGTGTGTGTGTGTGTGTGTGTGTGTGTGTGTGTGTGTGTGTGTGTGTGTGTGTGTGTGTGTGTGTGTGTGTGTGTGTGTGTGTGTACTGGTATTGGGGCTTGAACTTAGGACCTTGTGAGATCCTTTAGCTTTTTTGGTCAAGGCTTGAGTTCTACCACATGAGTCACACCACTCTTCTGGCTTTTTGCTGTCTAATTCAAGATAACAGTCTCTCAGATTTGTATGCCTGGTCTGGCTTTGAAACTGGATTTTCAGATTTCAGACTCCTGAGTTGTTAGAATTATAGGCATGAACTCCCAGCTCCCAGCATAATTATCTATTGAAAATGAAAATGAGAGACTTTAATACTTATGTCACATTGTACACAAAAGTTTTAAGCCTGGCACTAGTGGCTCATGCCTATAATCCTAGCTACTCAAGAGGCTGAGATCTAAGGATTATGGTTCAAAGCCAGCCCAGGCAGGAAAGGCTGTGAGACTCTTAACTCCAATAAAGCACTCAGAAAACTGGAAGTGGTGCTGTGGCTCAAGTGGTAGAGCTGAAGGACAGCACCCAGGCCCAGAGCTCAGGCCCCATGACCGACAAAAAAAAAGTTTTGAAATTAATCATTAACATAAATGTAAAATTGAAAAGTCTCAAATATTTAGAAGTAAATCTTTAGACTATTAGAATAAAAAATGTCTTGGAGCATAAAAACGTGAACCATAAAACACAAAATTGACAAATTGAATTTTATAAAATTAAAATTTTCTTTTCATAAGCACTTAAGAAAATTTTAAAAGGCAAACTAAAACTGAAGGAACATACTTGTAATACCTGTACCAATAAAGTACTGGGACCCAAAATATAATTAAAATACTACTACAATTTTAAAATAGTAAGACAAGCCAATGAAAATAGAAGCAATGTATATATAAATGGACTTATTGAGTACATCAAAATATGTTCAACTCTATTAGTTCTCAAGAAAATACCGTTATAAAGGAATTTGATCATGAGATACAAGAAGCCACATTTTGAGAAGCTGATTTGGGAATCTTTATTAGAAAGCCAGTGAGTGTGGGTAGGCTCATATCCCAAAGACTTGCAGCCCCGAGTGCAGTTAATACTGTTAGGAAACTGAGCCATAAAGGTTTTAAAGAAAATGATTTCAACAGACCAGATCAACTCTAAGGGAGAGTTGAAGAGAGACGCCCAAGGTGTCCTGAGGATAGTCAGGAGATATGAGGCATGGTGTAATGGCAGCAGGGGTGGAAAAGCTTGCATAGGGTCATGGTTAGGGAGCAGGGTCCCAGGGAAAGAGTTTTGTGAGTTTCTGGTATGGGTCTGGCAGGTCTGGGAACCTATTAAGTCCCCTGCCCCACCTAGGAATTCAGGTGCCTATCACCTGTGGGTTTAGGAAAGTGCAATTTCACCCCTAGAGTTTTCAGAAAGTCCTGTTCATCTATTAAAATGCCAAGATGGCAGTGAGGACAAGATGGCATTACTTAGACCCAGTATCTATATTTCAAGACCACAATTAAGGCACAATAAAAAAAAAAAATCACACTCACTAGAATGGCTAAATTGAAAGGACCTAGTGTTGATAAGTATTTGGAATATCCAAAACTTTTTTCAAATATCCCAAACTGGGTGCTCCTGCTTTACCCAGATAAGAAGAACGGGAATACAAGATATCATTCTGGTTATTCCTCCAGTTATTCTTGGCCCTTGGTGGATGTTTACAGGAGCTGCAGTGAATTTCAGTAAGCAGAAAAAATTGGTCTTGAACTTTTGACAGCAAGAACAGTGGCCTAGGGTTCTGGGCCTTGGAGGTTAACTGGAGATAACTCTTACAGACTTGTCTGCTCAGCCTAGCTTCAGAACTTAATCCTCACATCTCAGCATCCTAAAGTACTAGGATTATATACATAAGGTACTGGCACTCAGCGCTTTTTTTTTCTTTTTTCCAACACATTGAGAGATAATTGCTAAGTTAGGTAATTTCTAGTGCCCAAACTGGTTAAAATTTTTTGATTTATTGTGCTTATCTCAGTGTCTTTTTCAAATTTACTGGCTTTTGAAACTAGAAAATATTGGTTCATTTTCATGTTCTAGTGTTTTATGCTGGTACTGGGTTTCTCACCACTTGGATAATAGTCTGGTTATCCAGGGAATGATACCATAGATCTAGTTGATTGTGGTTGACCAGATGTTGTTGATGTTACAGGTTTGTGCTACCATGGTTGGGGGATCCACTGCATCTCTACTACTGCCAAAGGTATCGCCAACCATTCCTGAAGCCTCTCTGTTGGTACTTCTTCTCTTCTTCATGTTAACAGCTCATCCACTTTGCTAATTGAAAGAAGCCAAGGCCATTCAAAGATAGTCTTAATTGAGATTTAATGTTGAAACTCCAGGAGGCAGCACAGGAAAGGCCTCCTACCTGTTCACAAAATGAGTTGAAAAGCCTGAATACAGAGCCAGAAAAGGATTGGACAAAAGTATCTGCACCAATCATAGCAGTCCCCTTATGCAAATGAAGGTTTGCGTTTGCACCAATTATTGCGCAATGTCACCTATAGGTCTTTTGCTAGGTCATCAGGTAAAGAAGTAGATGCTGTAGTGACAAAAATACAGTGCAAGCTATTGGCTGGGGCTAGTGCCTTCAGGAACTAGAGTCATGCTTTGACTGCTGATATGAAAGCAGTCTGGCTGCTTGGCTGGCAGACCTTCACTCAAGGCACCCTTGGCCCCACAAAAGAGTCTAACAGCTGTCAATCAGGGAGTTAAATTTCCCCTGTCCCCAACACATTTTAGCACAAAGGAAAATAAACTTTGAAAGAAGTGCTTACAAAGGCTTTCTGTACTATAATAGTGCTCTAAAAAGTTTCCAGTGTCCCAAGAGGCATGTTTTACTACCATCTGTTTCACTAGTGTGAATGCAAAATGCTACTGTATTTTAACTTATACAGGTAAATGTGTGTTTATTATTAAGCCCAATGATATTATTTACCTGAAAAGCTAGAGATTGAATGTTTTATCTGTCCCCCTCCCAATCCATATGTTGAAATCTAATTCCCATTAATGATACCATGATAAAAGCATTCTTTATCAGACTCAGATAAACATAGAGCCTGGAAGTCATGAGGTGGGGAGTACTTATGCTTATCTGAGCTGGGAAGGTGGCTCAGTGGCAGAGCGCTTGCCTTGCATGCCAGAGGCCCTGGGTTCGATTCCTCAGCACCACATAAGCAAAAAGAAAAAGCCGGAAGTGGTGCTATGGCTCAAGTGGTAGAGCGCTAGCCTTGAGCTGAAGAGCTGAGGGACAGCGCCCAGGCCCAGAGTTCAGGCTCCACGACTGGACCCCCCCCCCAAAAAAAACAAACAACAACAACAAAAAAAGAAATGTACTTGTTATCTTGCCCATGAAATTTTAACTCCTCTGTACAGTATTCTCACAATAAAAAAAAATTTTTAACAATTGAAAAAAAAAGTCTCACAGACTTTCCTGCCCAGGCTGGCTTTGAACAGAGATTCTCAGCTCTCAGCCTCCTAAGTAGCTAGGATTACAGGCATGAGCCACTGGCACCTGGCTATGATTATTTCTATTGGTTTTCTGTCAATTATTTATAAATGGGGACACCACGCAGTCCTACATCATGTCTCTCTATCTCCCACCAATTGCCAAGCACCCAGTACCACATCTGGACACAGTGAGTGCCCAATAAACACTTGCTAAAGGCGGGAGAAAATGAATGCAGGTAACAAAGGAAAAGGCAACCGGTTTGGGCTCCTGGCCACAGCTTCGCAGTTAGACCTTCGTGGACTGGATGACCTCTGGACCAGTCCACCTGGGGCTTCCAGTCTGGCGGGGCAAGTTAAGCCTTTGCAATTCCTTGGAGATCTCTAGGAAGGTTTTGCCTTTGGTCTCAGGGAGGAACAAGCCTGTGTAGATGGCCCCACAGATACAGACACAGACGAAAGGAACATAGACTAAGTGGGACAAGCCTTCCTGTGGGTTAAAAGAGAAACCAAGAGCTGGTGTGACCCACCTAGAGTCCTTGGTGTCAGGCCCAAGACAGGTTGATTGTGAGAAGGGACTTGTCCCCTTGGTTACCTAAGGTTCCCTCCCTCCCAACCTCCCTGGAGGGAAGCCTCCCTTGAGACCTCACACTGACCATATATGAAGCAGGGCCCCCATTTCAGGAAGAGGAGGACCTACCATGATGAATGGGAAAACTAGCCCAATCAGGAAGAGCATGGTCCACATAAGCGCCCCACAGATCGTATAGGCAGCAGGTCTGGCCTTCTGGTCAAACAGCTCTGTGGCCAGGATTCCTGTCACTCCAGCTATAAGGAGTAGGGACAAGGATTGCCAATTAGGGCTCTTGGCCTTACTTCTTCACCTGGCCCAAGTTAGGTCACCTGGGGCCCTTGAGTACCCTCCTCCAACTTCTGCTTCCCAGAAGGCTCAGGTGGGCTCCAGGGTCCCCAGATAACCTCATATTCACATCCACCCAGCATTCATCCAGATATCCATTATTCCTGCAGCCAGGCCCAGAGTGCCCTGGGTTTTACTCACCAGGACCAATGCCAAAACTGAGGATGAAGGCAAAGATGCAGGACATAGCCAGGTAGGGCATCCAGGCGAAGAAACGCTACACAGATGGGATAGGATTGAGGTTGAAACAGGCCTGGCTCAGCTATTCCCTCCCCTGACCCCCAGGTACCTGCAGGCACAGGGCAGCTGTGAAGATACTCCCCCAGCAGGTCATCAGGCAGTAGCCCGTCATCAGCAGCACCCGCCGTCCCACCCTCTCGATCACCACACACTGCAAGAGAAAGAAGCCACTCAGGAATGACCCACACACCAGGCCATGGATTGGGGTCAGTCAATGGAGAAGGGGCCTCCATGAGGAAGCTGGGGACCTAGGGATAGTTTGTTGCTTCAAGAGGTAACAATTTGGTTAACTTCTCAAATGACCTTGGTCAATCAGTTACTCAATTTCATGTAGTTATCACACTTCAAAATGGTAATGTGAGTATCCCCACCCCACAAAGAACAACTCCGTGGGTGCTTAATAGACGTTCAACAAATGACTCATATATATAGTTGGTGGTGGCGGTCATAGGGCTTGAACTTTGGGCCAGGGTGCTGTCCCTCAGCTCTTCAGCTCAAGGCTAGAGCTCTACCACAGTGCCACTTCCGGCTATTTCTGTTAATGTGGTGCTGAGGAATGGAACCCAGGGCCTCATGCATGTGAGGTAAGCACTCTACCACTGAGCCACCTTCCAAGCCCCAACTCATATTTCTTTTTCTTTTCTTTCTTTTTTTTTTTGTCGGTTGTGGGGCTTGAACTCTGGGCGTGTCCCTCAGCTCTTCAGCTCAAGGTGAGCGCCCTACTGCTTGAGCTACAACGCCACTTCCAGTTTTCTAGTGGTTTATTGGAGATAAGAGTCTCACAGACTTTCCTGCCTGGGCTGGCTTTGAACCGTGATCCTCAGATCTCAGCCTCCTGATTAGCTAGGATGACAGGCGTGAGCCACCAGTGTCCGGCCTGACTCATATTTTTAACAGCATGCACAGGGGTGGAAAATGGCCTACTGCAAAGGACTGCAATCCTAGGGGTATCCCCAACCTGAAGGTCCCTTTCCAGCAGGGCTGGCAGAGTGGGGCCCAGATTCATACTCACACTAATAAAAGCTGTGAGCAGCTCGCAGCTCCCAGTCCCGATGATGGTGTACTGGATCTTCTCCTCTGGTACTCCTGCCTCCCGGAACACAGAGGAGGCGTACGCATATACCTGATATTGGACCCAATGATGTACCAGTTCTGAGACACTGGTCTCTTCAATCATCCATGGCTCCCAGCTACTTCAGCCCAACAAGCCCAGGGTGTAAGGCAGGGCAAGGGTCTCACCGAATCGTTCCCACAAAGCTCCATAGCACTGCCCAGCACCACGAGGCTGGTCACCTGCCTCCGAAGGGTGGGATCCTGTAAAAGTTCCCATGGGCTCTGTGCATGATGGCCCTGGCAAGCGGCACGCTCCTTCTCCAGCTCCTCCAGCTCCCCTGTCACATCTCCTGTGCCCCGCAGCCGTTTCAGGGCTGAGATGGAGGAAAGGGGTGCTCCTCTTTAATTCTTCAAATAAATCCCTCACTCCCACTCTCCCCCTCTCTCCACATAGAAAATTCACATTTTTTTGTGTGTGTGTGCCAGTCCTGGGGCTTGAATTCAGGGCCCGGGCACTATCCCTGAGCTGCTTTTGCTCAAGGCTAGCACTCTACCACTGGAGCCACAGTGCCACTAATACCCTTTTCTGTTTATGTGGTACTGAGGAATGGAACCCAGGGCTTCATGTATGCTAGGCAAGCACTCTACCACTAAGCCACATTCTTAGCCCACATCATTTTTTTAGATAGTTCTATTAAAGCTAAATTTTTTTTGTATTCTGTGTCCCCAACTTTCTACAGACAGGAAGCAGGCTGTGAAATTTGCTTGATCACCAAAAGCATTTTCTAATACTCTTTTCAATAGGTGTTAAGGAAGATCTTAGAAAACCAAGCACAGAGGCACCCCCCACCCCCAGGGGGCAAAGCCCAGGCTTGCTTGGAACACTCTTTAGTTTCAAGTCAAGGGGATCTGGTAATGTGTTCCTAGGGACAGTATAGAATTGTTATAGATCAATGACTTGTCTCTATCTTTTCCTTTTTTGAAATCACACCATTAATTCTCATTACATTATCTCACTTTCATTATTCTATGCTAAGTTCAGGAAGGGGAAAGACCTGGATCTAGTATGGATCTAGTATGTACAGACTTGATGTGATATCAGGATTTCAAGACTGATGCCATGTCTGGAAACACAGTTTTCACAGGTAGAGACATCCATAACATAATGGTGAAGAAGACATTCTTTAACATAACATAATAGTGAAGAAGACACTCCTCAGCTCTGGCCCTCAACCCTTCCTCAGTCTACACCTCCTGCCATGGGAGATGTACCATAAATATTTTCCAACCTCTTGGCTTTGGATTTGTCAGCACGGTTCCCTTTGGTCAGTTGGACATGAGGTTTAGAAAAAGGTTTAGAAAATCCTTGTGTCTCTGAGTTTGCTTTCTTAGGTGTCTCTCGTCACTACACTAACTAACATTCCTAAGTTAATCCATTGGAACTATGAGCAAGAGGATTCATGGGTAGAACTGAACTGTTATACAGTCCAGACCAGTCTTGATTAGCCATAATTCCTGACACATGAGCCAGCTCAGCTGAGAGCAGAATTGTGCAAGCAGACCAATCAATGAGTGAAATATGTGGTAAATGATTGCGATTTTAAGCCAAAGACTTTTTTTCTAATTGTTCTTTGGTTATCCTCATTGTAGCCATGTTAACTGGTAAGACAATCATCATCCACTTGGTACTGAGCACGAGAGGCTTCCAGTGGTCTTTCACCCTGAGTATACTTGTGGCTCCTTCTCTGTTACCATCCTGGGTTCCCTGGATGAAAGTGGTTAGGCCCATTCATCCTACTACACTAAAATTCAGGACATCTCCTTGATAAAGAGTTTTGAAAGCCAGGGTGCCGTTGGCTCAGGCCTGTAATCCTAGCTACTCAAGAGGCTGAGATCTGAGGATTGTGGTTCGAAGCCAGCCTGGGCAGGAAAGTCTGTGAGACTCTTATCTTCAATTAACCACCAGAAACCACAAGTGGCACTGTGACTCAAGTGGTAGAGAGCTCACCTTGAGCTGAAGAGCTGAGGGACAGCGCTCAGGCTCAGAGCTCAAACCCCACAACTGACCAGAAAAAAAAGTTTTTATTTTTATTATTTATTTCCATTTTTTGATTGAAAAGGTGATGAGCTGGGTGGTTATTGTTTCCTAGGTAAGACAATAAGTACATTTGTTTTTAATCATTACCCCATCCTTCTTTATCTCCCACTTATCCCTCCCTATCCCCTAAAAAAGGGTTTTGAAGGTATGTTATGCACTGATGGTGAAGCTGAAGCATAAAGAGAAAGACAGCTTTTCTCTAATAAAACCCAAGAAATGAACCTATTCTAGTGAGATGCTTCCCTGGATCAAGGGTGGTCTGGGATCCAGCAAGACTTACCTGCCAGACAGGCATCAGTGTCTCCACAGTCAATGAGGAGGTACCGTGGGCTCTCAGGGAGCAGGGGTAGAGTGGTGAGCTGCAATACCCCAGGTACCAGGCAACTGGCTAGCAGCCAAGGCCAGACCTCTAGGCTGCCCAGGAACTCCCTGGGGAGTCAGAAAACAACATGGAGATTATCTGTGACAGATAATCTCTGTCACAGCTCTGCTCACCTTCTCCCTTCTCCCTCACTTGTCCGCTAACCTGCTTGCAGGGTATTGCCTTGCCCGTTGCCTCTGCCTACTAGCTGTGAATGTGGACATCTTCTAATGTCTCTTCCACCCAACTTAGGAACGAGTGGAGGGCAATGCCCTTGCCTCACCGCAAACCTAGCAACTCTTCTCCCAAGAGTCTAGGTTCTGCCCTCTTCCCTCCCCCTGTCCCACCCCACCTGGGATAACTATTACATACTCCCCTTTCAAAGTCAAAATCTTCTCTGTCAAGACCCACTCTCTAGTCCCTGCTCTAGAGAGGATGAAGTGTGGTTGACCAACGTCCTTTTCTTATGTGTGTGTATCAGAAACGTGGATATGTTCAGATCTTCACTGCCTTTTGTGCAAAGAAGCACAAGGATTCACCAAGTCTTGGTAGGTAGGGGAGAAATTTGAGTGAAGAATGGTTGTTATTGGTTTCCCTGAAACCACTCACTGCAAAGAAGAAGAGCTTACCTGAGTCCAACCACCTGCCCCATCACGATGCCCAGGGCTGTGAAGATGGCTGAGGTCATGGCCACTGCTCCTCGAAGCTCCTTGGGTGCACTTTCCCCCAGGTACATGGGCTGAATATTCATGCTCACACCTGAACACATGCATAGCAAGGATTTCTCAGCTACCAGGAGGGAGGCACACATGCTCACTGTCTTTCCAGACTCACTCAGCATTGCCCAGAGCTTTACAACACTTGGTGTTAAGGCCATTCATTAGGCCTTCTAGGATCGAAGTCTATCCCCAGATCAGCTTCTACCCTGCTCCCTTATCCCAGCCCCACAGGCTCATGGGATCTTCCTAGGTGTGAAAGTTTCTACAATACTTTTAACATTGAATATCCCCAGAAGTCCATGTGCTATTGAGAGATACTGTGGATTTTTTTTTTTTTTTTGCCAGTCCTAGAGTTTAAGCCCTGAACCTGGGCACTGGTCTCTGAGTTTCTTTTGCTCAGAGATAAGCACCCACCACTTTTGGTTCTTTCTGAATAGTTTATTGAAGATCAAAGTCTCATGGACTTTCCGTGAGACAGGCTGGCTTCAAACCACAGTCCTCAGATCTCAGCCTCTTTAGTAACTAGGACTACAGGAGTGAGCCACCAGTGCCTCGCTAGTGGGCTGTTCTTGATGACTCATTTCCAATGGATAGAAGGTAGACAAGCTACTGGTGTACAAAGCCTACAAACTAAGGGTATAAAAAGACAGACCTCCTCCTTCCTCTGTTTCTTTCCCTCACCTTCTCCTTCTCTATTTTAGAGAAAGCTAGCTGCCATAAAGCCCCATGGAAACCCAACTGAGAAACCTGAGGCTTAATAGTATGCTAGGAGCTCTTGGAAGAAATTCTCTCTCAGATGATGGCAGCCATACCTGCATAGTGTGAGCACACCCTCATGATAGACCTCAAGCCAGAGCCACCTGATTAACATATTCTTGGGCCTTTGTGAAATGTAGGTTGTTTTAAGGCTCCGAATGGGAGGGTTGTATTAAGCTAGGCAATTAATATAGACTGTGGAAACGGCAAAGACTCAAGACATTACTTGATAATTTATAAAAATATTCACCTAAAAGCAAGTGAATGTATTCAAAAATTCTCTTCCCTCACAAAATGAACCTCAGAAACAGGGAGCCCCTAACATATTCCTTTATACATTGGCTGCCAGGAAATTCATGCTTAGAGTGTTGCTCAAACATATGACTTGCTGTTAGTCTGGGGACTTTTCCCTTCATTTGTGTGTGTACACACTGGGGCTTGAACTCAGGACGATAGCACTGTGCCTTTAACTTATTTACTCAAGGCTGGCACTTTAACCACTTGAGCTACAGCTTTACTTCCAGCTTTTTGGTGGTTAGTTGAAAACAAGAATCTCACACTTTCCTCCCTGCCTGGTTTCAAACAATCCTCAGATCTCAGTATCCTTAGTAGCTAGGGGGATTACAAGCATAAGTCTCTGGTACCTGGCTTCCCTCATTCTTGCATTTTTTTCATCTTTCTGTATCTTCTGTAAATGTCTATAGTTATATGAATCTTTTAAGATATGCCATATTTAATTGCTTTATAAAACAGATGGGCATGAGTGAATGTGTTAATGAATAAAGAGTGGGGGGGGGAGGAAGCAAGGGAAAAAAGGGATGTAACAATGAAATTAGAACAGAGAGGCATGATGTACCTGCATTGACTCCCATGAGCAGTCTTCCCAGCATGATCATCTCACAGGAGCGTGCTTTGCGGCTGAAGCCGAACATGATGGCTGCAGCCACCACAAAGCTGTTATTCACTAAGAGGGACTTCTTCCTTAGGGGAAGTGAACACAGATAAGAAAGGATGAGGGGCCATATCCTCCAGGCATAGTGGGCTGTGTGTGTGTGTGTGTGTGTGTGTGTGTGTGTGTGTGTGTGTGTGCACGTGCACGCGTGCTTGCGCGCACGCACATGCAGGAGTGTACATGCGGGGCACCCATGCAGGAGAGCTCATGTGTGCTTCAACTGTTTTAAGGGAAGCAAGCTAATGAATCAAAGTGACCACTGGGTGGTATACCCACACTCACTTGTATATCTTGGGTATATACTCCCATTCTTCTCCCCAGAATACCCACAAATTACTTTCTGCCTGCATACTAGCATGAAATTAAAGGATTTTTTTTCTTGCTTGCTTTTATCCTTCAAATGAACCATTGTTCATATACCAAACTTCTCTGGAAAACGAAACTAACATATAATTTCTCAAACTCAAAACCTACAGAATGTAGACACATGGGAAGCCAAGTGCAGTTCCCTCATTATATACAGACACTTGTCAGAACCTTCAAGAAGGCTAAGTGCGCCAGTGTCTTAGCCAATGGACAAGGAGGGGACATGAGATATGTTGCCTGCACTACCATGGTGAAATACCAGCTCCTGATAGTTCAGAAGTGCTCTAATCTGGTCACCAAAAAGAGCTTTTTGTATTGAGAGAAAAACAAACTGTTCTGCCCAAAGTCATCACGACACCAGCAAAGGGATACAAGCAAAACTTAGGTCTCCCAGAGGCAGGCACCCATGGCTTATGCTTGTAATCCTAGCTTCTCAGGAGGCCAAGATCTGAGGATTGTGGCTCAAAGTCAGCCTGGGCAGGAAAGTTCATGAAACCCTTATCTCTGATTAATCACCAAAAAGCCAGAAGTAGAATTTTGGCTCAAGAGGTAGAGTGTTAGTCTTGAACAAAAAAGCTCAGGGACAACATCTAGGCCCTGAGTTCAACCCCCAGAACCAGCACACCACACACACACACACACACACACACACACACACACACACGCGTGTGCGCGCGCACACACACACACACACACACACACACACACAGAATCCAGTCTCGGGTATTTTCTTTTTATTTTTTTATTTTTTTTTTGGGTCCGGACATGGGGCCTGAACTCTGGGCCTGGGCGCTGTCCCTCAGCTCTTCAGCTCAAGGCTAGCGCTCTACCACTTGAGCCACAGCGCCACTCCGGCTTTTTTCTTTTTGCTTATGTGGTGCTGAGGAATCGAACCCAGGGCCTCAGGCATGCAAGGCAAGCACTCTACCACTGAGCCATCTTCCCAGCCCCTCGGGTATTTTCTTATAGCAGCATAAAAACTGAAAAATATAAGTATATACTATACTGGGCATAGTAACCTGGCACATTTATCAGGAAATTTGAAAAAATGGTTGCTCTGAATGGAATGCAAGAGATATTCACTAATAGTTTCAAGCCAAGTTCAAAGAAGTAGGCCTCTTGACTCAGATCTAAGAGATTGTTATGATTTGAATGTGAACTGTCTCCTGCAAGCCTATGTGTTAAGTCCTTGATATCCAACTAGAAGCACAAATTTGGAAAGTTGTAGGAACTTTAGGAGTGGAGCCTAGCTTGAGAAAGTGGGAGCATGCATTTGGGGGCTATATCCTGAGAACATTTTCTCTCTTTCTCTCTCCTTCTCTCCTTTTCTGGCCCTGGCCACTAAGATGTGAGTTCTCTCTGTTCTACCACATTCTTCTCACCATGATGGACTAAAACCTTGGAAATCATGAGCCAAATAAATCCTTAAGTTGCTTGTGTCAGGTGTTTTGCCACTGTGGGGAATAAACAGCAGATCATGGACATTTAGGTGGCTTTGTTCTTGTAATGAGCTGGGTATGACTTGACACTCCTCTGCTGGGATTGAGTGTGCCTGGCTGAACACCAGCCCTGAATAGAAACTGAAGTTTCCCATGAGTAGATTACTTAATCAGTAAGGTTCAAAAAGAGATTGAATACAGATTTTTTTTTGTCAGTTGTGAGGCCTGAACTCTGGGCCTGGGCACTGTTCCTCAGCTCTTCAGCTCAAAGCTAGTGCTCTACCATTTGAGCCACAGCATCACTTCCAGCTTTTTCTGCTTATGTGATGCGGAGGAATTGTACCCAGGGCCTCATGCATGCAAGGCAAGCACTCTACAACTGAGCCATCTTCCCAGCCCCTGAATACAGAGTTTTATACATATGTACGTGTGTATGTGTGCATGCATGCGTGCATTTGCATGTGTGTGTGTGTGTGTGTTTTCACATGCCAGTACTGGGGCTTGAACTCAAGTCCTCATGCTCTCACTTAACTTTTTTGCTCAAGACTGGAAATCCACCACTTGAGCCACAACTCCAATTCTGGCTTTTTGTAGGTTAATTGGAGACAAGAGTTTCTCATCTGCCTTGGCTGGCTTCAAACTTCAGTCCTCAGATCTCAGCCTCCTGAATAGCTAGAATTACAGGTATGAGTCACTAGCACCTGGCTAAAGACAGAATTTTGCGCATGGAATTTTGTCCATTTTCAAAGGGTTTAGTTAGACCAAATCTTAGACAAAGTAAGATTTGAAGACTAGTTCCAAAGAAGTTGATGGGGCTGGGAAGTTGGCTCAGTGGTAGAGTGCTTGTCTTGCATGCATGAGGCCCTGGGTTTGATTTCTCAGCACCACATAAGCAGAAAACAGCTGGACATGGTGCTGTGGCTCAAGTGATAGGGTGCTAGCCTTGAGCTGAAGAGCTGAGGGACAGGGCCCAGGCCCAGAGTTCAGGCACCATGACGGACAAAAAACAAAAACAAAAACAAAAACAAAAACCAAAGAAGTTGATGGATCACTTAGAATTGGCCCAGAACCTGAAAATAGATATATCTATGTTTCTGCTTACTGGAGCCCCTTGATCACTGCAGAAAATCCTCCTCATTGACAAGATGATCTTCTCTGTGGACAGGTCATGGTATTCAGCTATCTTTCTTAGCCAAGCAAGTTTGCTCAGTTGGTTTATAAAGAAGCCAAAATAAGCCAGGAGCCAGTGGCTCACTCCTATAATCGTAACTACTCATGAATCTGAGATCTGAGGATTTCCATTTGAAGCCAGCTCAGGTAGAAAAATCTGTGAGATTCTTCTCTCCAATTAATCAGTTGCTAGGATACAGACATGATATTGTAGACAGAAAAGATATTGGAGACTGAATGTAGCTAAAGCCGAGTATGCTGAAGTCATCTTCCTCCCTAGGAACCCTGTCTACAGAAAACTCAGAGCTGGGCTGGGAAGGTGGCTCAGTGGTAGAGCGCTTGCATCTTGCATGCATGAGGCCCTGGGTTCGATTCCTCAGCCCCACATAAGCAAAAAGAACAAAGCCGGAAGTGGCGCTGTGGCTCAAGTGGTAGAGCGCTAGCCTTGAGCTGAAGAGCTGAGGGACAGTGCCCAGGCCCAGAGTTCAGGCCCTATGACCCGACTATAAAAAAAAAAAGAAAAGAAAAGAAAACTCAGAGCTTTCTTGGTTCATGTCCTTCTCAGGGCTTTAAGAACTTCCCTGGGTACATTATCCAAAAGGAAATGTTCTCTTTGCCTGACTTATGTAACTGTAACCCATCTGTTTTTATCATTTTCAAATAAAAATAAAAATACAAGCCGGGTGCCAGTGGCTCACGGCTGTAATCCTAGCTACTCAGGAGGCTGAGATCTGAGGATCATGGTTCAAAGCCAGCCCAGGCAGGAAAGTCCATGAGATTCATATCTCCAATAAACCATTAGGAAACCATAAGTGGTGCTGTGGCTCAAGGGGTAGAGCACTCACCTTGAGCTGAAGAGCACAGGGATAGTACCCAAGCCCAGAGTTCAAGCCCTAGGACCAAAAAAAAAAAAAAAAAGAACTTCTTTAAATTGTGTGCCTAATATCCTTTCCATTATTATGATTTTTTTTTTTTTTTGTCAGTCATGGGGCTTGAATTCAGGGGCCAGGGCACTGTCCCTGAGCTCTTCTGTTCAAGGGTAGTGCTCTACCACTTTGACTCACAGCGCCATTTCCAGTTTTCTGGTGGTTAATTGGAGATAAGAATCTCACAGACTGTCCTGCCCAGGCTGGCTCTGAATGGCAAACCTCAGATCTCAACCTCCTGAGTAGCTAGGATTACAGGCATGAGCCAATAGTGTCGGGCATCGTTATGATTTTTTTTTTTTTTTTTTTGTCGGTCGTGGGGCTTGAACTCTGGGCCTGGGCGCTGTCCCTCAGCTCTTCAGCTCAAAGCGAGCGCTCTACCACTTGAGCTACAGTGCCACTTCCGGTTTTCTGGTGGTTTATTGGAGATAGGAGTCTCACGGTCTCTCCTGCCCAGGCTGGCTTTGAACCGCGATCCTCAGATCTCAGCCTCCTGAGTAGCTAGGATTACAGGCGTGAGCCACCAGCGCCCGGCCATCGTTATGATTTTTATGTTAGTAAGAGTTTCTCTTGTTTTCAACCCAAGATCCACATCAGATTCATGGAGAAAAAGTGAGACCCAGAAAGAGAAAACTTGCTTAAGGTCAAATATCACTGGTGGGCAGACATAGACCTAAAAAGCAGAAGTTCTATATCATTACAGACCTCTTTCTTCTACCAAATGTTCTTGAAAATATGACTCTTGGTAGATGAGTGGATCCCCAAAATAGGGGTGAGTCAATAGGACATATTCCCTTTACAAAATAGAATTTTACACAGCCATTAGAAAGAATAAAATAATGTCATTTACAGGGAAATGATTGGAATTAACCAAATCAAGTGAGGTAAGCCAAGATCAGAGAGACAAATGGCGCATGTTCTTTCTGACATGCAGAAGTTAGATCTAAAATGCACTGGGGATATGACAAATCATACAGTATTCCACATGTTCACATATAGCAAGACCAAAAGAGATTACTCTTAGGAAAGAATCACAGGGCTGGGAAGGTGGCTTAGTGGTAGAGCGCTTGCCTTGCATGCATGAGGCCCTGGGTTCGATTCCTCAGCACCACATAAGCAAAAAAGAAAAAAGCCGGAAGTGGTGCTGTGGCTCAAGTGGTAGAACGCTAGCCTTGAGCTGAAGAGCTGAGGGACAGCGCTCAGGCCCAGATTCAGGCCCCACGACTGGACCCAAAAAAAAAAAAAGAATCACAAAAGTGAAATGCCTAAGCACCTCTTCATATTTATATGAAATAATATATATATATATATATTTAAATGAGCTACAAGATATGGAAAAAAGACTAGTTTTTAGTTTTTGATGTATCTGTCTTCTTTACCTTATATATGGTGTATTAACATGTATATCTTCAGGGTGGAGGGCACAGAACTCAAGGGAAAAAAGGGTGAAAACATGCACCCTGGAGCTCACTGGACATTGATGAAAATGAACTATGCAACTCATAGTGGAGACAGGAGGGAGACTGGGAGAGAGCAAGGGAAAAGATGGCACTGTACAAAAGGAAATTTACTCATTACTTGACTCATATAATTGTAATCCTTCTGTACATCACCACTATAATAAAAAGTGAATTTTAAAAAATTAAAATAGGACTAGGGGTGAGTCAATAGGACAGTTGAGGAATTGATATGGACCTGAAGTTTGCTGGGTACCTCCTTCTCCTATATTCCTTAGCTTGCCGACTGAAGGCCCACATCAAAGGGCATTCAGGGGGCACACAGGCAGTGCTTACCTTCCTAGTCTGATGGCCATGAGTCCTGCAAGCAGTGCTCCGAAGAGGCCCCCCAGAGGGTATAGAGACACGATCAGAGACCATACAAGTAGAATCAGGTGGTCAGGCTGTGGTTTGCCACTTCTTGCTTGCCAGGTTTCATTGATGAATTCCTGAATGTACTATGGATAGAGAGGCCAGTTAACTCTCCTGGGGATGGGAAAGGGGAATAGTGTTGTGTAAGAGGAATGGTACTGGACAAGATAGGCCTTCTTCTCACAGATGGGGAAGTGTGGTAAGACTGCGACACCCCCAAATCTGTACTGCTATTATGGACTGAAGTTCTTAGAAGTAAAGAGCTGTAGTAAAGATCCTTCAGACTAGCCGGGCGCTGGAGGCTCACGCCTGTAATCCTAGCTACTCAGGAGGCTGAGATCTGAGGATTGCGGTTCAAAGCCAGCCCGGGCAGGAGAGACCGTGAGACTCCTATCTCCAATAAACCACCAGAAAACCGAAAGTGGCGCTATAGCTCAAGTGGTAGAGCGCTTGCCTTGAGCTGAAGAGTTGAGGGACAACGCCCAGGCCCAGAGTTCAAGCCCCACGACCGACTAAAAAAAAAAAAAAAAAAGATCCTTCAGACTACTTAACATTGGCTAACTGCAACATCCTTATTATGGAGGGATGGAATTTTCTAGGCCAATTGCCCAAATTATCTTAGGCTATCCTTAGCCTCTTTGAAGGGCCATTTATTGTCGTCTCTACATCTGATCTAACGTCCTTTTGGTTGCCATAAAACAATTGGGATGCATCAGTAATCCTGATATATCTCAAGCCTCCACTAATTTGAAAGGTAAGAATGCCATAAAGATAACATCTACATCCAATAGGTTTTCTTGATTTGCCATAGCTCGCCTATCTGATGACCCCCATCATATTCTTTTCTGTGACTATAAAAATTTGTGTAACTTTTTTTTGTAAAACACGTCATTAGGTACTCATTATTATGCTCATTGTGAAAGACTGGGGATTAGGCTCTGACAGGTAAATGACTTGCCCATGGCCTTAGGGACAGGGCCAGGCTCCATGGAGTTCCACCTTTCAGAGCTACTATTTCAGTTCCATGAATGAAAATAGTTTGGAAAGACTTTGCACAGGAAAGCCCTTAAAGAAGAATTGCCAGTTTTGGGCCTTCCAAAAGGATGTGGCTAGTGGGCAGTGGAGAGTTCAATGTTGGACTAGCTCTCTTCTGTCTTAACCAGCTCAGGGTGAATCTGGTGATGATTGCCCTTTTGCCCAATGAGTGGAGAAAAGGCTGGATTAGAAGCAAAAGAGCCATAGCTCTGTTCTGGGGCCTGATTCCTATAGTTCTTCCCACTTATACTGTATGGAGCCCCTCATGGTTCCTAGCAATGTGGTCAAACAGCCTTCTAATGTAAGCAATTTAGAGGTGAACTTCTTTCACTGGGAGGGACTGAAAGATTCATCTTTCCCACAGAAACTAGGTAAACATGGAATGGGCCAGCCCAGTGTCAGGTACCAAGAACTCAAAAAAACGATTCAGACACAAAGCAGGAAAAATGACATAGGAACAAAATGGCCAATACTTCCTCTCACTGGAAAAAGGATTGGAAAAACAACTGTGTTTCTCTGTGTTTTGGGGGATGAAATCTAAGTTGTTTTGTTTTTTAGGATAAAAAGATGAAGGCAGGGAGGTGGGGGTGAGGGAAGATGGGAAGGGATGGAAGGGGAAACAAAGGAGGAGGCAACAATGCTTGATAAGAAATGTACTCATTATCTTGCCCATGTAATTGTAACCCCTCTGTATGGTATTTTCACAAGAAAAAAAAGAAAGAAAAAAAAAAGATGAAGGCTGAGACAGAGGGAGAATCTGGTCCCAAAAAAGTCTTAGACTTCAGGTGGATGAGTCTGTTTTTATTCCTTTGGGCATCAAGGAGAAACACAGAATGTTTCTGGGCAAGAGAATGCCTTAGCAAAACTGAAGTATCAAAAAAGAAAAAAGGCTGGCTGAGTGTTGGTGTCTTATGCCTGTAAATCAAGACACAGATTTGAGGATCTTGGTTCCAAGCCCCAGCCCAGGAAGACAAATCTTGAAATTCTTATCTCCAATTAACCAGGGCAGCGGGCAGCTGTGAATGGAGGTGTGGCTCAAGTAGTAGAGTGCCAGGCTTGATTGTGTAGATTACATAGAAATCTCCCTTGAGTGGAAAAAAATTAAGTATAAGAACACAAGGCCCTGAGTTCAAGCCCTAGTACCAACGCACATGTGCATGAGCACTCATGCCTACACCCCATTCTCAAAGGATCAAGCGTGCCACTCTATGACTTAGTAGAAGGTGGAGTCATATAAGATCAGGGATGCAGCAAGACACAGGATGCAGAGCTCTGTGGAAGCATCCAGAGTCTTGTAGAGCATGCCAGTGGGAGCACTACTAAGTATATACTGAGCTGAAGCCCCACAGTGGGAAGCTACCAACTCCCCTCCAGGACCCACTCAGATAGTGAGAGTGGGCACAGAAGGTACATACCAAGGTTGGGGCATTGATGATGGAGAGATTGTAGCCAAACTGAAAAGTTCCACCGATGCCAGCTGCACAGATGGTCAGGAGCAGCACCCTGCTCTGAATCTGAGGAGACAGATGAGGACTCAAGGTGACCAATAACACCCTCCACCTCCCTCTCTGGGCAAGATCTACCAATCACAGTATCACAACAGTGTCTGTACCAGGCAACAGTGTCTCCACTTTATACACAAGTCACCAAGGTCCCATAGCAGACAGACAGCAAGGGAATGAAAATCTTCTGCTCTGAATCAGGACGGTCTCTATCCTAGCTTCCCCCTTCCCCTGCCACCATTTTCCTGAAACAGAGAAATTCCTGACCCTCTTCACTGGGCTGCACATGGGTGTGTCTGTTGTAGTTCAGGAGAACAATCTTCTGAGCTGGAAATCCAGTGGAGTAAAGTTCTGATTCTGGTAGCACAGGAGCCCCCAAGTCCCAGCGACTTTTGCCAGGGAAACATTCTTGGCCAACATTTCTGAGCTGAGCTTCCTCTCACCTCTCCTCCCACCAGCCTCCCACCAGCCTGGTCTGCAATGAGGCTAAGGAAAGGGACTACAAGTTCCTGGGTGCCAGAGGCTCACGCCTGTAATCTTAGATACTCAGGAAGCTGAGAAATGAGCATTGTACTTTGAAGCCACCCTAGGCAGGCGAGTCTGTGAGACTCTTATGACCAATAAACTACAAAAAGCTAGATGTGGAGAGGTGAGTCAAGTGGTAGTGGCAGGCTTAAGCAAAAAAGCTAGGAAAGAGTAAGAGACCCTTCGTTCAAGTTCCAGTACTAGCAAAGAAAGAAAGAGGACAGAAAGAAAGGAAGGAAAGAAAGATAGGCAGGCGAGTCTGTGAGACTCTTATGACCAATAAACTACAAAAAGCTAGATGTGGAGAGGTGAGTCAAGTGGTAGTGGCAGGCTTAAGCAAAAAAGCTAGGAAAGAGTAAGAGACCCTTCGTTCAAGTTCCAGTACTAGCAAAGAAAGAAAGAGGACAGAAAGAAAGGAAGGAAAGAAAGATAGAAAAAAAGGAGAGGAAAGGAAAGGTGTTAGTGAATAAGCTTCCTTTCCATTGCTAGTACACCCCTTCCCTCTCCACAGCTTAGCATGCTCCCTTCCTAGGCAACACTAGGCTCATGTAGTAAAGGCAGTAAATAATCAGCCTCCAACTCCCTTTACCTTGGGATGGCACTTCTCTGGGGCAGCTACCACCATATAAGGCAACAAGAGCCCCTTTGAGTGACCTTCAGGTCTGGGCAGCTACAGGACCCCTTCTCTACTATTTGGACAGCAGCCATAAATCCTAGTCTGCCATGATGAAGCCCCTGGGCCTCATGTCCACGCCTGGGTCTCTACCTCTTAGCCCCTCCTAAACCTCCTAGGTTAAATAGGTCACCTCAGACAATAGCCTGTGCTTCTTTCACTTCTCCCTTGTGAGAAGGGGTCTTGCCGGCCCCTTCCCTGGCAATAAACCTTTCTTTGTTCTCTGTAACTAGCGCTCTGTGTGGTCTTCTGGCAAAATCTAATAATCTATCAAAAGGGGAAAGGAAAGGAAAGGAAAAAGAAAGGAAAGAAAGGAGAAATGAAAGGAAAGGAAAGGAAGGAAAGGAGAAAGGAAAGGAAAAGGAAAAGAAAGGGAAAGCAATGGAAAGGGAAAAGAAAGGAAGGAAAGGAGAAAAGAAAGGAAAGGAAAAAGGAAAGGGAAGAGAGGGGCATCTCTTACTTCCCCATGTGCAGATACTTGGAGGGCATGTTGAGCAGTGAACAGGCAGCCACAGATGGTGGGGGTACCTGGCACCCTGGGGCAGTTCTGCTCTAACTCCCCCATACTCTCAGAATCACATCCTTGCCTGGACTTGGAGACAATAATGCCTATCTCTGGGCAGACTATGAAGGATATTTGCTACAACAAAAGACAGCTTTGCATGTTAGGGCAAATCCCCTTAGAGATAGGGAGAAGAATTCCCAAGGCACTCAATCAAGAATACTCATAGATCTGACATTCTATCCCATTTAGTTGTTTCTTTTTAATGTTTTTATTGTTATTGTAAAGGTGATGCACAGAGGGGTTACAGTTACATAAGTCAGGTAAAGAGTAGTTTCTTTTTTTGACAATGTCACACCTTCTCTTGCTCTCTCTCAGTTTTTCCCTCTCATCCCTATAGTTTTTTTCAAGGATTCACAATATTAAATTACAATATGACATGTTCAGAGCTGGAGGTAGAGCTCAGTAGTGAAGCTCTTACCTAATGTACATTAGGAGTTCTTGCTTTAATGTGTGTTTGTGCGCAAGTGTGCACACACACACACAGAGCTATGCTCATCATGGTGGGTTTCTGTTTTATTGTATAGGTGGTGTGATAGGCCATATTACAGCTCCAACAGTGCCCCATGGAGATGAGAGTTCCCCTAAGACAGCAGAAGTATGGAAAGCCCACATGGCAGGAGATACCAATAGGTCTCCAAGGCTGCAGGAAATTATTTAGTTCAATGAGAGTTTGCATGCAGATCACCTAGAACTACACCCAATGAAGGTAAGTATTCATGCCAGCCCTGAGTTCAAGCCCCAGTATGACACAAAAACTAATAAGTAGGTAGATAGCTAAGCAGTCAAATATTTCCTATGATGGTGATAATTCAGTGTACAAATATTACTGCCCCCTATGATAGGCAATACATCTACTGCTCTCGGTGCTTTGGCTTTCACAGTGAGCAAGGGACAAAACCTGTGACCTTAGGGTACTTTCTTTTTTCTTACTATTGACAGAACACAGGCTATGGCAAAATGAGCAAGCTGATGTTAGGAAGACATAAAATGGGACAGGGGGAGAGGGAGTTTGGACTGAGTAATGTTTTAAATTGGGTGACCAGGAAATAGGAAGATGATATTTGCATAAAGACTTGAAGGAGGTTTAAGAATGTGCCATACATCTATCTGATGGAAGCTAGTCTGATTGGAGAGAACCCACAGATGTGGGCAGCATGAGTATTCTGTTTGCTCCCATTACTTGAGTGAGACAGGATCCAAGTCTGAGCTGGAAAAGGAGCAGTGCGGGTAAGATGCTGTCACAAGAAGGAGTGAGCAGTAAGGAACAGAGTGCTCAGACAGCTGCTGTTTGGGACTTGTGTATCCTCCTAGAGGACCTAAGGGGCCTGTGAGAAACACGGGGTGATGCTGGACTGGGATGTCCCTGGCTGGGCAACCTTATTGGCCCACAGGCCATTGCTGGGCAGGAATATTTGCTTACAATTTTCTGAGCCATTGTACATACAAACACAGATAGTTGTGTAGCTAGGTGCAGGTGGCTCTCAGGAGACTGAGATCTGAGGACCATGGTTTGAAACCAGCTTTGGCAGGAGAGTCTGTGAGATTCATCTCCAATTTATCAGCAAAATGCCCGAAGTGGAGCTGTGAGTCAGGTGGTAGAGCGCCAGCCTTCAGTGAAAAGCTAAGGTAAGGGATAGAACCCAGGCCTGGAGTTCAAGCCTACAGTACCCTCTTCCCCCCTACACGATAGTTTTGCACACTGGACACCATTGTTAAGGCTTCAAGCATGGCTGCAACCCGTATAGTTTACGCGGGCCCACAATTTGTCATCGGAAGGCCTGGGCCGTATAAACTTTGAATTCTAGAACTTTCCAACTGGCAGGAGGGCCTCTTTCCTGGAAGAGAGACCTGCAGGGCCGCACCGACTCTTAGCTTCCTCTGGCCAACAACAGACAAGGTGAAGGAAAGCAACCCAAGTGGGTGAGGGCACCTAGTAACGTGCAGCACAGGCAGAGCCGGCATTGGGGAGGTGCACACAGTAGAAGCAGTGGCCGGCACGCAAGCGCAGTGGTTACGGAGGCGGTCTGGAAGCGCTGAGGGCTAGCGCGACGCTTAGCGGTGGCCTTGGCGACCCAGGCGCAAGCGCATAAGAAAAGCTAGACAGCCGGGCTAGCCCGAGGCGCGTGCGCAATCGCAACGCGAGCCATTTCCCCTGGGTCACCTGAGTCCTTGGCCTTACTGGTAACTCATCTTCCATGCCGCCGCCGTGTCCGCAGAGCTGAGGCTGAAAAGCCCCCTCACTCCTTACTCCTGCCGGCTGAGCTCAGAGCACATCTCTGCAGACCGGAGGGAGCTCCCGGGTGAGCGAGGTTAACCCCACTGAGAGGCCCCGCACGCCACGCGTGGGCGCGCCCCTGAGGCCCAGCCGGACCTTCCGACCCCTGGGATCCCAGAAGGGGTCCCCGCGGGCTCCTGCCCTGCGCCAGCCCGGACCCCACCGGGCGCCCCTGCCCCTCGTGCCCGCAGAGGGCCGAGCCCTGGGTCCCGCGTCCCCATCCTTCCCCCAAAGAGGGGCAGCATTTGGAGGGACTGCAGACTAACTCACCAGGCTCTGGAGCGTTCTCATCAGTAGGCCCGGTGACTAGACGGACTGTAATAGAACCCAGTGGCCGCCGGGCCGCCAGGCAGGCGCGCCCACCAGGGCCGAACCACGCAGCGTCATGGGCGGGGTTACTGTTGTGGTTTTTTTTTTTTTTTAATCCTTCAGGACTTCTCAGGCCCCGCGTGAAACCTGGAGGGAGACTGAACAAAGGTTACCGTGCCTTTGTGACAGAAGAAACCGAATTGATGGCGACCTTTCAAGTCACCTGATCAAAGAACGATACAGCAGAATAGGCCTGCAAGTCTTTATTGCCTCAGATTTGGTTTCTGTTCGATTTTTTTTGCTGTTCAGAACTTTTAATACTTAATACCAATACCATACTTATTAGCTAATTAATGAATTTTGTGCCGGTCCTGGGGGCGTAAACCCAGGGCCTGGTCACTCTCCCTGAGCTATTTGTTCTCAAGGCTGGCACCCTACCATTTTTACTACAGCTCCACTTTTTTGTTTTTTGGCGATTAATTGGAGATGAGAGTCTCATGGACTTTCCTGTGCATGCTGGCTTTGAACCTCCATTCTCAGAGCTCAGCCTCGAGTAGCTAGGATTACAGGAGTGAGCCACCAGTGCCTAGCATAATTTATTTTTAATTAATTTGTTTTCTTATTTTGGCAGTAGGGAGTGCTAGGTAAATAAATGCTCTCTCACTCGACTACAGACATAATCCTTCCTTCCCCCCCAAAAAACACCATGCATTTTAAAGAAAAACAAACAGCAAACAGAACAATAGCACTTGTCATTTGTCATAAATGGATATTTTATTACATGCCTTTTCTGCATCTTTTTCTTTTTTCCAGTACTGGGACTTGAACTCATAACCTAGCTTTTTGCTGAAGGCTTTCTGCTACCCACTTGATCTACAGCTTTTTGATAGTTAATCAGAAATGAGTCTCCTGGGAAGTGGCGCTGTAGCTCAAGTGGTAGAGCACTCGCTTTGAGCTGCAGAGCTGAGGGACAGCGCCCAGGCCCAGAGTTCAAGCCCCACGACCAACAAAAAAAAAAAAAAGAAATGAGTCTCCTGTACTTTCCTGCCTAAGCTATTTTCACATCCGATCTCAGCCTCCTAAGAAGTTAGAGTTACAGGTGTGAGCCACTGATCTACAGCTTTCTTCTGCATTTCTTTTTTTTTTTTTTTTGTCGGTCGTGGGGCATGAACTTTGGGCCTGAATGCTGTCCCTCAGCTCTTCAGCTCAAGGCTAGCGCTCTACCATTTGAGCTACAGTGCTACTTCCGGCTTCTTCTGTTTTTGTGGTGCTGAGGAATCGAACCCAGTGCCTCATGCATGCAAGGCAAGCACTCTACCACTGAGCCACCTTCCCATCCCTTTTCTGCATATCTTAAGATGACTTATGAGTGTTTTAATTAGATTTTGAGATCAATTGTATTAGTAGACTTTCTCACTGTAAATATCCTTAAATTCTTGGGACACATACAGCTTGTCCATGATATTGCTATTGTGGCTATCAATACATTCTTGGGTTTGGCTGTGTATATTTCATTTAGAAAGTTTGTTTGTTTGTTTTTCTTTCAAGACAGCCATTGCCATTTCTTCCCTTAATAAGGGGGCATGATGGACTAATAAATTGTACTAGGACAACTGATGTGGGCAACTAAACAACTAACTCACTCCATCCACAGAAATTATTCTAGGTCTACACAAACTTAATGTGATATGCAAACAAATATTTTAGAAAAAAAAGATTATTTTTGCAACTTAAGTATAAGAATAAAACATATAGTTTTCCTTTGTAGACTTGGCCTCATTAAAATTAAAAATCTGGGGCTGGAAATGTGGCTTAGTGGTTGTGTGTTTGCTTAGTATTCATGAAGCCCTAGGTACGATTCCTCATTATCACATAAATAGAAAGAGCCAGAAGTGGCACTGTGGCTCAAGTGGTTGAGTGCTAGCCTTGAGCAAAAGAAGCTCAGGGATAGTGCCCAGGCCCTGAATTCAAACCTTAGGACTGGCAAATAAGTAAATAAAAAGTAAGCTGGACACCGGTGGCTCACGCCTGTAATCCTAGCTATTCAGGAGGCTGAGATCTGAGGATCCTGGTTCAAAGCCAGCCCAGGTAGGAAAGTCTGTTAGACTCTCATCTCCAATAAACTACCAGAATACCAGAAGTGGCGCTGTGGCTCAAGTGGTAGAGCACTAGCCTTGAGCTGAAGAACTGAGGGACAGCGGCTAGGCCCAGAGTTCAAGCCCTATGACCGACCAAAAAAAAAAAATTAAATTAAAAATCTGTCAAAAGACATAAGAAAAATGAAACTAAAAGCTACTAAGGAACAGAAGTATATGACAAAAAAGGTATTAGTGTTTAGAATTAGTATTAGAACACATAAAGAATTCCTAAGCTGGACATGTGATTTGAGTGATAAAGTGCCTGCCTCACTAGTGCAAGCTTGAGTTAAAACCCCAGTGCCACCCCAAACAGTAAATTTGTAAGACAAACAGAACAGAAACAACACCTACATGTCAATCAATTCCTGCATAGTGGTAATCGCCTGTAATTCCAGCACTCAGGAGGCTAAGACAGGAGTATCACAACTTTGAAGCCAGTCTGGGCTACATAGCCACAGCTAAGTCTCAGAAACAAGAAATAATTCCTAAGTATTAGAAAAAAAAAAAAAGAAAATGGAGATAGGGAATTTATAGATGATGAAACAGAATTTGATGGGAAAAAATAATGAAATATGTTGCTATGGCTTGGATATAGTTTATTGCCCTAAGGTTAGTGTGTTAGAAGCTTGATTCTAAGTGTGGTAGCAGGGAAATAGTAGAATCTTTAAGATATGGTTTCTACCCAGTTAGATGTGGCTCATGCCTGTAATCCTAACTACTCAGGAGGCCGAGACCTGGAGCATCTTGTTTCAAAGCCAGCCTGGGCAGAAAAGTCCTCAAGACTCCATCTCCAATTAACTCCCCAAAAGCTAACTTGGGTTCCCTAAAAAAAAAAACCCATCACCTTTAAAAGCCATACAGGTATATAGTATACTGTAGTCTACTTAGAAAGTAGAAATCAGGAGGATCATGGTTCCAAGTTAGCCTGGGTGAAAAGTGAGATCTCATTTCAAACAGTAAGTTGGGTATAAAGATATAATGTGCCTGTGATTTCCCTGCTACACAGAAAGCAGGAGGCAGTAGATAGCTCTGGCCAAAAAAAAAAAAAAAAAAAAAGCTGGCTCACCAGTGGCTCATACCTGTACTACTAGCTACTCAAGATGCTAAAATGTGAGAATCTTGGTTTCAAGTCATCCCAGATAGGAAAGGCCCTGAGACTCGTATCTCCAATTAAATAGCAAAAACCTAGAAATGGAGCTGTGATCCAAGTGGTAGAGTACCAGCCATGAGTGAAAAAGCTAAGAGACAATGCCCAGGCCCTGACTTCAAGTCCCTCCCCCCAAAAAGGCTGAGGGTATACTCAAGTAGTAAAGTAAGTAACCCTAGTTTTTGTTTTGATTTTTAATTAAAAGGAAAGAAAATGGAGAAATAAATTATAGTATATTTTATTTATTTATTTGTCAGTCATGGAACTTGAACTCAGGGCCTGGGCACTGTCTTCTAAGCTTTTGTGCTCAAGGCTAGCACTCTACTACTTTGAGCCACAGTCCCACTTCTGATTTTTAGGTTGTTGGAGATAAGAGAGAGTCTCATGGCTTTTTCCTGCCTGGGCTGGCTTCGAACCACAATTTTCAGATATTAGTTTCCTGAGTAGCTAGGATTACAGGCTTTAGCCACTTGCCCCCAGCTTTATAGTATATTATAGTATGTAGTATATAATAGAACACCTCCTTCGGGACTAGACAAGAGGAAGTATATCAACATGGGTGGCTTCTTGGATCTCTCTGAAATACCTAAGCCCATCTTACCTTTCTAGAGTCAGAGCTTTACTTTGGGCATGACTAGTCCCCAACCAAGAAAAGAAGCTAGTTCTTTTGGTTGGTTTTTTATTTTGTTTTGTTGGTCATGAGGCCTGAACTCTGGGCCTGGGCGCTGTCCCTCAGCTCTTCAGCTCAAGGCTAATGCTCTACCACTTGAGCCATAGCTCCACTTCTGGCTTTTTCTGCTTATGTAGTGCTGAGGAATCGAACCCAGGGCCTCATGCCTGCAAGGCAAGCACTATACCACTGAGCACCTTCCCAGCCCAAGAAGCTGGTTTTGTCCTGGCAAATATGAACTAGGAGTTTAACTTAGAATGAAGTGCAAGTCATAGCGGTATTTGCAGCAGCCTGGTCTTCACATTTGCCCCTGTGAGACTCCAGGTGCTGATGTCTAGTCCTTTCAACAAGCATAGGTAAGTACTATTCCTCTTACAGAGGACACCTCTGAGACTTTGGAAGGTCAAGCATGTGAACTATGACCTGCCTGAAAACGGAAGCTGATTTTCAGATGGCCAAATCTGGCCTGTCCAACCCTCCATCATTGGGGGGCAGTGGGATGGCCTCACACCAGCTAACGAGTGTACCAAGACTCCAACTTTTTGCTTCCTACATCTGATCCTTGCCCTGTTTCCTAGGTGAGCTGTGAACAGCTGCTAGCCAGCTGCTCACAATCCTTTCTACATTGTAGGGCCCTTTCTCTGCAGATGGGGAAATAGCCCCAGAGTAGGCAGGGACCTGCCCCTAGGGTGGTTTGAGATTTTGTTCTTGGGCTGTGGGAAAAAGCTTACATTAAAAACAGTCCATCCAGAGTC